TTTTAGCTGAGCCATCCTGCCACCTGTTGGCAGCTCACCGGCTGCTCAGCTCGGGCTGACTCGAACCACTGTTGCTCAGAGCTCAAACTCTTGAGCGAGCTCTTACCCAACTGAGCCACTCAGCCGGCCCTTCATTTCCATGTTTGTAAAGTGGGTGGCGGGCCTGCGTACTGCTTCAATTCCCTCTGGCTCTAGAGGTCTGGGATTCTGTGGTTCTGTGGTTCTGTGGTCCAAAGCAAGCCTGCTCATTTCAGTACCTCTGGTCAGTGTTTTATTCCCACTCACAGGTGAGTGGCCTATGTGGGGCCACTAAAGAATTCCAGGATTTGGGCAAAAAGGACTTCATCCTGTAATGGGCTTGCAAAACTGAGGAATAGTTTTGGGACCTCTCAGGCTGGACAGTCAGTGAAGGTTTTAAAGGTGCCCAGTCATGACCACTATCTGGTGTCCAGTTACAGAAGCTTATAGTATTTGCATTTGGGGTGTCTCATTCAAGCCAGTTCCAGTCCAAAGCATCCACAATTCTGACTCCATAGAAGGAAAGCTTTTCTAACAGTAAGAGATGCCAATCCCAGCATGGACTGCCTACGAAGTGGAATCCTCCCTGTTTTAAGAGGCTCCCAGCAGAGACATCTGTCTGTCCTGGCTGGAGCAGGTGCAATGTTTATGAGAGGAAAGGTGAACCAGAAGAGAATTCAAGCCCCTGTGAATCCCACAACCTCATTTTAGAACCTAAGGTTTGTATCAGGGACAAGTTCAAAATGAGGAGCAGGGAAGAATTTGCATATGCCTGTTTGCAGAGCCTTACCTGTGGCTAACTGCTTATTCTGACAGCGCTGATGCTTGTTTCAGAACACCACGATCACACCTGTGTTAAACTCACTCTTTTACAGTGAGAGCACGCAGGCACGACACCGGGTGTGCAGCTTTCACTGTTAGGATCAAAATTCATGATGTAGTACCATTGAATTTTCCTTTTGATGGGACCAGTGGTTTTTCTACGTTTGTGTCCTCTCATTAATAGATCCCCATGATGGTCTTGTCCGCGACACAGATACCCGCATCATTAACCTCATTCTACAGAGAGAAACCCTAGAGTAGAGAGAAGTAAAATGGGACTAAAACAGCTTATCTTTTCAGATCTCTGTTGAGGCCATTTTGGGAGGAGGAATCTGTATAGGAGGAGGAATTTTGGTTTTCACCAGTCACTTACTTGTGAAAATGAAAACCAATAGCCAAGAATTGAGCTGGGTTCTTCTCTAATAGTCATAACTAGGACTGCTCTAAATGTCTTGCTTTGAGAATTGTCTTGCTATTAAAAATGGCTTTATTTTGAAATAAATTTTAAGCTGCCGTTTTAGTTTCAAAGTGAAGAGCTTGATTATGACTCACCAAGCTGCTAATAGAAGTCTCCTCTTGTACCAGACACAGTGTGTGTGAGATAGAGGAAGGAATTGTGGGAGAAAGAGCTCATTTCTTGCCTGGCTCATTTCTTAAATCTGAAGAAGATGGCAACTCTCAAAACCTATCATGCTAACCCCATCAGAGGACTTTATATTCATAACTCTGACTCTTCTGGTTTCGTGCTCATTGGCTGTATAATTCCAAAACTGTTTATTTACCCTTAACTGGAAGGGGCATAGTGAGAGGTTTGTGGGAACAAAGGAAATAAGGAGGAGTCAAGCGCACCTGGAAACCTCTTATTATAAGCATGCCAATCAGTAGCTCAATTCAAATAGCATTTTCTTTTAACAGAGATGAGTCATGAGGTAGCAGAAAGTTCTGGATCAGTCCCAGCTCTGCACTTATAGCTGGGTGCCTTTGGGAATAACTTCCTCTCTCTGACCCTCAGGTTTTGTATTTGTTAAGGGGGGAGGCCTAGTACCTGCCTCGCAGGGTTTTTGGAAGGATTAAAAGAAAGGACAGTGCCAGCTTTCAGCACGTTGTGAAACTTTCACATCCTGTAATCACATTAGGCCACATTGTTTTCTGGAAGGTTGTGTAATTTACTACTGTTTACTACTATTCCCGAGGAAAAGCAGCTTCCCACTCCCATTTGTGTTATTTTCTGCTATTATTTGTGTTCCTGAGACAGGGCAGCTTTCTGTCCACCCTCTCCGTTTTCAATGACTATAGAAAATATATTCCTAAATATCCACACCCAAGAGATTTCCCATCTTTAATTTCCCCCAAACTGAATAAGTCTGGTTGCATGGTCACTGCTGGGGCACACTGTGTGTAGGAGAGAGAGGGGTGGGTAGAGAGGGGACAAGAGGCAGAAGAGATAGTGTAATGGGGTCAGAGGGTGGACATGCTTGGGGGTGGGAAGGGTCCTTGATGAGGAAAAGATGAGGAAGTGGATGAGGAAAAGATGTGATTGTGTGGAGGAAGCAACTCAGTCAGAGCTCTCACCCTTATCTGGCAAAAGTAAATGATATTGAATCAAGTATCATGAGGACATGGCTGAGAAAATGAGCTCAAAAAAAGTCTCTGAAGCCTTATATAAAAGCCACTATGGAAATAAAAGTTCTGTTTCCGTCCTTGAAACATATTGTTCAAATATCTAGTTCTTTTTACATGCCAATTATATCTCAATAAAAACAAACAAAAACAAATAAATAGTTTCCCTGAATTTTAAGTTGACACTGAAAACTTACCTTCCAGAAAAGAGAAATCTGTTGTCTATTGTAGTCAATGTTCTGTTTTGTGTACCAGACATCTAATGTCCCGTTAGGCTCTATTTTGAAGGGAAAAAAACATATTTTCATATGTATGTACAATATAAAACCTTTAAAGTCAAGGGGTTATTTAATGATCGATTCTGGGAAAGCAGGATTTTAAGATAATTTCAATTTTCTTGTGCCCACTATTTTTATTTTGTTAAACAATGAACATGTATATCTTTGGCCATAGAAAGCACACAGTTATCTTAAAAACAATTTTTAAAAAATGATGAGAAAATTAGATTCTAAGTCACTCTTAAAACATGTATTAATAAAATAACTTAAAGACAGTATGTATAGTCATTTATTTTTTATTGGAATGAAGAAAGAATTCTCTACCAAAAATAAAGACATAAATGATAAGGAACACATTTTTTGATCCTGTAAAAGTACAAAATACAAATGATAAACTTTGTGTTCATCTCTATTCCTGACCTTATGCTGTATAATCATTTAGTTTTATCATCATTAGACAATGATCTCCTTGAAAGGAAGGCCCACCTCATGCATCTTAATATTTCTCCTACCTAGCAGTGCTTGGAATGTAATAGACTCCCAGTAACTCTTTTTTAAATGATGAATGAACAAATCAGGCAATATTATCTACTTGATGCTAAAACACAGAATGAACTGATAGGAGAAATAACTACCAATCTTTAAGACAATGGTCAAATATGACTTAATTTGAGAAAGTCAATCAAACATACTTGAAAAGAAACTGAAAGGGGCCGGCCGAGTGGCTCAGTTGGTTAAGAGCATGAGCTCTGAGCAACAGGGTCGTGGGTTCGATTTTCACATGGGCCAGTGAGCTGCACCCGAGCTGAGCCACTGCTGAGCTGCCAACAGGTGGCAGGATGGCTCAGCTGGTGAGAGCACATGCTCCTAATAACAAGGTTGCAGGTTCAACTCCCACGTGGGATGGTGGGCTATGCCCACCGCAACTAAGATTGAACACGGCACCTTGAGCTAAGCAGGTGGAGGCGACTGGACTTGGGGCTGAGCTAGCTGTGCCCTCCACAACTAAGATTAAAGGACAACAACTTGGCTGTTCCCCCTTCCCCAATTCCCCAATAAAATCTTAAAAGAACCCCTGAATAATCAACTCGTGTGTGTGTGTGTGTGTGTGTGTGTGTGTGTATTATTAGTAGTAGCAGTAGTAGTTTTATTTCTCCCATTATCAGATTTGTTTTCATTGACAGCCAGGGGAGGAATGAATCGAAGCAATCCCTGAAAACAGGCTTTAATTGCCTCAACCCAACTTGTTTAACAGAGACACTTAGAGTGTATTTAAGGAGAGGCTACAATGGGGTTTCTTCTGAAGTAGCAAATTCCATTTAACCAGATGGACATTTCCAGAAAATTAAGTCCCAGCTGGATAACAGAAGACAAGCAGCCAGGGAGAGGAGGAGAGAAAGGAAAGAAGTGCATGTTCCAGCACATTCTATGGGCAGGTCCTGTGTGGGCCCATTCAGTTACCTCTCATGTCCTCCTCACTGCCATGACGCACATAGCTTTAGTGCAGTGGTTAAAGTGTGAGCTCCAGGGCCAGACCATCTATGGGCAAATCCCAGCTCTGTGATTTTGAATAAATGTTAACCACGTCTTTAAGCCAGTTTCCTCTGATCTTCAGTCTGTCAATCTAAGATCATAATTCTGTACATGAGGCTGTTGTATTTAAATGAATAGAAGAGTGCTGACACATGGTAAACACTCAGTAAATTAGCTGTTGTTTTCTTCGTTTGAAAACTGAAGTGCCGAGAGGTAAAGGAATTGTTCAAGGTCCCAGGACTCACCATCAGAGAAGCTGAGCTTTGAGCACAGGTCTGTCTAATTGCACAGACTTCACTCTATACCATGCAGTTGCCTGAGTCTGAGAAGGCTTATGATTTCTCTGTAAACTTTGCATCCCCCATTAGGTATGCCTCTTTCACGTCCTATTCTTTTCCTTTGTCACTTCCGCTTCCTGCCGCTCTCACCCTCTTTTGTCTTCTCTAAGCATTCACTTCTGTTCTTCCACCAGTGGCACTCGTTTTACCCTTGCAGTGGGGACTTAGAGGTAAGAGATACATATATAAAACGTCTCAATCCTTCAGGATTATAAAGAGTAACCCAAGAATTAAGCCAGGACTTTTTTCTGCTAGTCCCGATGCAAAAAAAAAGGAAAGAAACACAGGCCACAGAAGGTAAAAGAACCTGACATTTACTAACCACTTATTATGTGCCAGGTAATATTTGGACACTTTAACTATATTATCTCACTTATTCCTCATGGGTGTGTGATTGCACCTGTTTTACAGCTGACAAAGGCTAAATTATTTACAAATGATGAGTAGCTGGTAAATGGCAAAACTGAGAGCTGTGCCCAGATCTAACTGCTTCCAAAGATCCTGCTCTTCCATTAGTTCACTATGTTGAGCAAAGATGTGAACACTTCACGAACTAGACATTGACACATACTCAGGACATGGAAACTCCGGTGTGCTCGGTGTCAAAGCCAATTGACTTGTTCCATTGAGCTAAATATCTTCAGTTAATTACATATTGGTAAGAAATTTAAAGGGAACATCCACTGCTTCATTAAAGGTCTACATATTATCACAGAGCTAAGAGTCTAATTTTAGAATCATACTCTCTTCCAAAGAGAAATTACAAGTGAAAGTGAAATTTTAATGGTTCTCTCCTGCAGTGTAAGATGCTATGGGAGAGAAATTATTAGTTGAATCTGTATGAGTTTCAAAGTGTAAATATTCATGACCAAGGGTGTCAAACCACCGCTACTTATAGCAATGTAAAGACTAATATTAAAGAGAATCTTTGGCATTCAACTGCCACAAAATCACTTAAAGTTCTAACCACAGTGTTATCTAGCAAAAGGCAGATAAAACTATTATAGGCAGGTGAGAAAAGGAAAGCCAGAGGCCAATTTGTCCTAGTGATTACAAAACAAATGGGTACAGATGATTAAATACACAAATATTGAGAAATGGAAGTCATCTCTCCTGAGACAAAACTATCTCCTATGTAAAGGGAAATATTGTAGGGTTAACTAGAGTCACCAGTATGGAAAAAAAAAAAAAGATCCTAAGTTAAGCTAGAGATTGGCCTAAATGACTTAAATGACCTCAAGGATTCTTTCAACTCTAAAATCCCAAGATTCTAGGAGTCTATGAAACAATACGTGAAGCAAATAAATCAGAACCAAGCCATGTGTTGTTGTTTCTGAGATTAGCAGCCATATCTGAAGCCAAGGTAGTGCAGGGGTGTGGACGAGAGCAACTGAATTGGGGTGGGAAGCCATCCATCTCTCCAGAAAGGTTTCAGCAAGCAGTGAAGAGAAAAATAAAGATCTCCAAAAACAATGAAATTGGAGAATGTAATAAACAGTAAATATGGAAAAGGCATATCTTGAGTGGTTTCAAGTAGTGGACTAAATGAAATGCACAAGAAATTTTTGGTCCAAGTCATGCTCTCAGTGGGGCAAGAGATAAGTCATCCTTCACTGTCTTGGTTCCTTGATGTTACTTTTTAGGCTGTGATATATTTATCTAAAATCTAGTTTCAAACAATCCAATTCAAACAGACCTTTCAAAGACCTACTTGATTAAACAAGTTTTTAGTGGTAGGGTTCTCGCCTTCAGATGTTGTCGTATACAGACTTCCCCCCTCCTGCCTCTTTGACTGATGACTTTTAACACTTGTTTCTTGCTCTCTTTCCACCTCTTTCTGTCACTGTTCTTGCTGGCTCATCAACCACATGGGTGTTCCTTCCCAAAGGCTGTACTGTCAGTTACTCCACCCACCCACATTCAGTGATCTGTTTCAACTGAAGCCTCTGCCTCTTCCTTCACTGAGCAGAAGGGAGCAATCAGGCAGGCATTCCCTCATTTTTCCACCATGAAAACTTACAAACTTCTCCATCCTTAACACAGTACCCCCACTGATTTTACTGTGGATGAAGTATCTACTTCCATCAAAGTTCAATCCCATAACTTCAATTCTGGATCCCATCCTCTCTTGCTTTATCAAGGGACTCTCTCCCACTTTTCCTGTATCACTTTTTCCCTTTATACTGGGCCCGTATCATTGTCTTGAAAATATACTATATTATTTCTGATCTGTAAAAACAAAGAGACAAGGAATTTTCTAATACCACATCCTGTTCCCGCCACTGCCCTGAATCTCTGCTCCCCTCACAAAACTTCTTGAAGAATTGTGAACTGTTACCTGTCTTTATTCCCTCACAGCACACTCACTCTCAACCCATACCAACTGAGATTTCTTGTGCCCATCACTCTAACACTGCTCCTGATTGGCAATGAATTCTGTGCTGCCAAATCTAATGGCCACTTCTCTGTTCTTATTGCATTGGATTTCTTAGCAGCATTTGACATAATTGAATACTACCTCCACCTATTTTTTTTTTATAGAAACAAAACCTTTTAACATTCAGATCACAATTGAGGAGTGAGCTTTTTTCTTCATAGAAACAGGAATGTTTCATCCATACTAAAATCAAAGGAGGCATTGTGTTAGAGTGCTGTAGAGTGCTGATGGGGGAACAAAAACATGAGTTGCAAAAGATTACATGTAGGATATAATTTTGATTAAGTTCAAGAACAAGTAAAACTAATCATTGTTTAAAGATATATACATTTTAGGAAACTATAAGTATGAGATTTATAAACATACAATCCAGGATGGTTTATAGTAGAGGTAGTGGTTACCTCTGGGGAGGCATAACACGGTAAGAATATATTGGTAATTTTATAGTATTTAAGCTGAATGGTAGGTTCATAAGTGTTCATAGCGTTCATTTAGTTGTTATGCTTTGTAATGAGAAAGTAGCTTAAACTATGATGATCATAATGGCCATGGAATAAATGAATAGATTTTGAATATGTTAGGAGACAGAGTCAATTGCTGATATGGGGAAAGTGGGGGAAAGCAAAATTTAAGGGTTATTTCTCAATTTTTGACTTGAGTAACTAGAAAGGTGGGTCATTTACTGAGATAGAAAAGAGTAAAACAGAAGTTTTGTAAATATTTTGCTTTGGAGAAAAATTAAAAGTTTTTTTTAGGCTGTGTGAGGTTTGGGATGTCTGTTGGCATCTAAGTGAAGATGTAGAATAGGTGATTGAAACACAAATCTGAAGTTCTGGAGTGAGTCCAGGACTGAAACCAAATATTACATCTCTATATCTATCTACCTATCCATTCATCCATCCATCCATCCATCCATCCATCCATCCATCCATCCATCCATCCAGTTTTAGAGCCATGGGACTGAATGAGGTCACCTGGATGAGAAAGAAGGGGGCCTGGTGTAAAGTCCTAGGGATTGAGAAAGATGGCCAGCAAAAGAGACTAAGAATTGGCCACTAAGATAGAATAAAAACCAGGAATGTGAGATTTCACACAATTCAAGAGAATCAAGTACTTCAAGGAAGAAATTAACTCCCTTCACCTACTACAGTGACTTTAGAGGCCATATGTTCCAGATGGAGGAAAGCCATAAGATTCCCTTTGGACTTGGCATTTCTTCTTGGTGGCATGCCCTCCAAAAATCTTTCCCTGATGTTCCAAGATAGACTATAAGCCCTTGAGTCTGAGGATCTGACTGTTTATCATTGTGTCTCAGCATTTGGCATAGTTCCTGATACCCACACATTCCCCACAGACCATCCAGAGAAGCATATTTTTTTCTTTTCATTTGTTTCTGTTTGGAGAGCTTCATGGAAAGTATTTCTTCCTATTGGGATGATCAACATCTTGTCAAATAATTGAGCTTAGACATTTATTTCTTTGAGGGTAGGTGTTGGGCTTAGAGGGGACCAAAAGAAGATAAGAGGCTAAGGACTGGCATGGGATCTCAAACATAACATTTTCTTTTTAATAAAAAATCTTGTATGTAAATCCCTTTAGAAGGGTAAAGAGTCATTCATTCTCATTTCCTCAAGCCTTGGGCAAAAAGACACAAGTATGATACTTTCAAGTTTAGCTAGTTTAGGAGTCAGCAAACAACGGCCCATGGGCCAAATCTGGCCCATTCCCTGTTTTTGTACAGCCTGTGAACTAATAATAATGACTTTTACATTTTTAAATTGTAGAAAACAAATCAAAAGAAGAATCATTTTTAATTATGTGGAAATTACATAAAATTCAAATTTCAGCATCCATAAATCAAATTTCATCGGAACACAGCTTTGTCTAAGTACGTATGTAGTGTCGATAGCTGCTTGCACAATATAATAGTAAATTTTAGTAGTTGTGACAGAAATCATGTGGTCAGTAAAGCCGAAAATATTCACTATCTGGACCTTTACAGAAAATGTTTGCTGACCCTTAAGTTAGACTGTTATGAAATGCTTGCTAACCAAGGTGGTAAAAATAACCTCTAGTATTTAATTGTTCACATCTAACCAATTTTCACAATATTTTAACATTACAAATGAATGAAGGAATTACCTAGCTTGTCTCAACATGAGGCAGAGTAGCTGCAGCTGTAACCCTGCATTTTCTCCCTCTTGGGGATCGCTCACTAATCACCTATGTCATCACCATGATAAGAGAGTTCCTCCTCTACTGCTATGGCACAAGTATGAGCCATATTTACTGCTATGTAATGCTTTCCTTATTAAGTGTCCATGATAGAGTTTAGCAGGACCAAAACATGTAAATAAGACTTTAGAAATGGTGAATGAATAGACAGAAACATCTAATTTAATTGATAATACAGTTCGAAGGAATGGCTCATTCATCTTTATTTTGGAGTCTCCTCCTGGGTGTTCTGAGTGTTAAGGGGTCACCTTTCCCCAACACCTGGGCATATTCTCAGGTATGTCTGGATGCCATGCAGTCCAAAATCAAGAGTGCTTTTCCACTAGAAGCAAAATATAGTTGCTCACTTACCAGTATTGGGCCTGCCTTTGATGGATACTGATTGTGGGACTGTCCTCCTAAACATGGAAAGTGGCTTCTTCCCTCCTCCCCGTTACTGAGTGGTCATTTAAAATGTGTTTTTCACAGGGGACCATGACTGGAATTAAATTTAATGATACAGGAAAGACTCATTATGGAATAAATAATGGCCTCATTCCCGAATGTCATGATATAAATAACTGTGCCCAATCTACGAGAAGAGCATATTGCTCTCAGTTTTGGTAGCAAAGGATCATTCACAGTTTTAGAGACTAATTAAAAAAAAAAAACGCTTACTAGTAATTTTTTTTAAATGCCAAGTTACATATAAGTACACACGTAAGGGGTTAAAAGGAAGAAGTGCTAAAAAAAATGTCACACCTTTTAGGTTTACATCAAGTGGTGTTTCATAAAGAAACTGATGACAGAAATAGTGGTAAATGTGAAACCATGCAGAGTAAGAGAAGAGATCCTGTAACAACCCACAGAAAGATCAAACACCCAAAAGGGAGATTCAGGCATTGAAGGGAAGCCAACAGAACTTGGTTACTGTGGTATATCTCAGAGTATGGGTTTCTCTCTTTATGAATGCCTGCAATTACTCTGAACAACCCAGCTCCCTTGGTTCAATTCACAACCATCCATGAGTTCATAACTGTAACAAGTTGCTGCACTCATTGTTATGATGGTGGTTTATTTTATAGGATATGAGAAAGTTACTGTCTTATCTTCAAGGGTTTTTAATTCAACAGATAAACACTTAAAATCTTTTCACACATCTCTAAACAGGTCATTATCCAATGTAAGAATGACAAGAATTCACAAGCCTAGAGTTTTCCTTGTTTATAATTCAGCCTAAAGTGATATAACTTTTAAATATTTTTTAGCCTATTTACTACTTTGGACTTGGACACAAAATATGGCCCATTTTCAAGAATTTTATCTGCACTATGTATAAACAAAATCGAATCCATGAAATATTTTGAAAAACTACATTACATTGACTGTAATAAAAGGATAATAAGAGTAAGTTCTGGATTATAAAAATGACAAGCATTTAAGCAGTGAGCACGTGGCTCAACAGTAATTTAAGAGACTTTTTAAATCATAAAATGAGTGGAAATAAATTCTAATTTGTTGGATGAATTCATTTTTAAACATTTTTTTAAATAGAGAGATGCAATTCATACAAGGAGAAAGAAAAATATACAATTATTCTACAATTTATATATTAATAATTATGTTTTATTAATAGGTTCTTTAGGTCCTTGAATGTCACTGAGGTATCACTGATAATGTCATCAGTTACCAAAAGCCATTAATACCTCACAGAAAATGAATGTAACTTAATCATAAGGCTAGTTTATAGGTACACACACATTCATGGGTTTCACAAATAAGTTAATATTACAAAGTCTCCAGATAATAAAGCAATGGATTATATGCTACCAATATTTTTTCCTCTGAGCCTAATTTGCACAAATTCCAGGGGTGACTGGTTAGCTCAGTGAGAGCATGGTGCTGGTAACACCAAAGTTGCTGGTTCAAGCCTGCATGGGCCGCATGAGCTGTGCCCTCCTTAAAAAAGAGTCCACATGTCATTGTAGCATGAAAGCAATGTGTAACCAATGACCATGGCTGCTCCCCAATAAAAAAAAAAGGTTCCATACTATATTACTAATTGAGAGCTTTTGAAAACTACTATTCAGATGGCTATTTTTTGTGTCTCCAAAGATTTGTTAATATTGGCATACAGTTCATATAAGCATTTTTGCTTCAATAAAATATTTGATTTTTCAATAAAATCATCTCCCCTATAATTACCAAAAAGAAAAGTCTGTAAGTCTAAAAAATACGTTTGATATATTTTTCATAGCTATGGGCAATCTGGTCACAGTGAGTATCAAAGGTGGGAAGAAGTGCAATGCTGCAATATTTGGAGCACAAAGATGGCTGGATGTTAAATTTTACTTTAAAATGTTATACCTCCAGAGTCTTCCTTCTTTCAAGTTTTTAGTATGGCTTATAAAGCCAGATTAATTTTCATAGAATCCGAAAGGTAAAGGGCACCAAGGTTTAATTATAAAATAAAATCAATTACTGGCTTAGCTTTGTGGTATAAGAGAGCACTACCGAGATAGTAAGTGAAAACCAAACGTTACTGAGGCACAAGCTTGTAACCAAGATGCCAACTCTGTGGCAAACAGGAGTAAGATTTACCTAATGCTAAAAATGTCCTCCAATATAAACATATCTCCCTGGGCAATTTCAGGCCTTAAGTTCATGTCAAAATTAACTTGTCAATCATTGCAATCATACTTTTTCATTCAGTGCCAGTATTTTAGAGATTCTACTCCAAGGAAATCATTACATCTTTTTCTTTCCCTCCTTTCTTGCCCCCCATCTTCTTTTCTTTTTTTTTTTGACACATACCTTCTTCAGGTGTTTGTATTCTCAATGCTTCACTCCAGTCACTCCAAATACCTTTATAAAGATGTAGCTTAGAGGAAACCTGAAATTCATATTCCGTAAATGGTTTCAAATCCAGCAAATCATGTCTTCCTTTGGCATTTGTAGTATTAACCTTGAACCAGACAAGATTTTGAAAAGTGCTTATTAATACTAAATTAATTTAAGCAAGTTTAACATAAAGGTAAAATACTAGACCAGATAACTCTTTTTACTTGTTCAGATCTGCCATTCAATGAGAAGAAATATTAATGACTGGGTTATTGAGTACACATAATGTTAATCTGAAATAACAGCTTCTCAAAAAAAACCAAAAATATTCCTGAGATTTAGAACCTATCTAATATGAGTTCCAAGAGGGATCTGGAAACCAGCTGAAAAGGAGTAAAGGTTGAAAACTACTAATTTTCAAAAAGGCCTTGGAGATGTTTCTACAGTAGAGATTATTTTTAATTTGGTCACAATTAGATTGTGATGCATATTTTAACACAGATATAGAACTGGGTTCAAACAAAAAACTTTAATTATATAAGAAATATTTCATTACTATACCTCTCTTGAGCATCAGCTATATGTGAAATGCATCCATTGTCATTATAAGCCATTATATTTTACAAAAGTACTGAAAGAGATTATAATCCTAAAACTTTTATTGTAAAAAAAAATTAATGCCTAATAGTATATCAAAGTGTGGGGCTTTATCTTTGGAATACTAAATTCCATGTAATCCTCTATGGACAGTCCCTATATTTCTCTTTCTAATATGTTAAAAAAAATATACTAAAAAGTAATAATGGGGTAGGGGGTCACTCAAAATAAATTATAGGAAGTTAATACTGGTTTATGGAAGCTTGTGACTTAAAAATTTCAAAATCAGTGATCAGAATTCAAGATTATTATTATTATTTTTTTTAAGCTGAGCCATCCTGCTACCTGTTGGCAGCTCAGCGGCTGCTCAGCTCGGGCTGGACTCGAACCGCTGTTGCTCAGAGCTCAAACTCTTGAGTGAGCTCTTAACCAACTGAGCCACTCGGCCGGCCCTCAAGATATTTCTTAAATAAACAGAGGTATGTATCAATTTCCAGTATATCTCCAGTATATACTTTTGGGTTAAATATTCTTAAACTCTACATTTGGCTGGTATGAAAAGACAGAGATCTGCGCAGTAATATTAAAAACCTTCCTTGTTGACCCCCTTCACTCTAAAGACAATTACCATATTCCAGGATCTGCTGTTACTGGGGCGGTATCTGAGTCGATTAAGTAGCACCAGATTCTCATCTGTCCACTGAAGAGTACATCTGCTCACAGAAGCATTCACAAATTTGATTCTGATGTCCGACGGAGGAGGAGGCCTCACTGGTAACCAGGACAAACATAAAAGCATTGACATGAGCTATAAAGAGTTGAACAAAACTCATTTCTAAGATGAGTTAAAACCATCAACTTTGGTGAAATAAACAAGAGGTGAGTCCCTGGCTTTTAGAAATAATAAGTTCGATCGCTTCTGAGTCATTAAAATAATTCCCCTTAATCTACCCTCATTTTTACCAAATAAACTACCACAGACATTAGCGATCATGTCAATTCCATTTAATCCAATGATTTAAATAAAAACAATGTGCCAAACCCAAGAGTTCCCATGGCTGAGAAGGCAGAGGTGGCTAGTGGTGATTGCCTCAAAAGAAGAAATATTGGTAGAAATAGTTACAGGAAAGGGGCATAGGACCAGGAGGAGAGAAGGAAAGAGTAAGAGGAAAAGAAGGAGGCTTAGAGATGAATAGTCTCCGGAAAGGGATGAAAGGAAGGATGGGGAGAAATGCCATAGGACAATGCATAGTAAATGCCTATGTTCAGACTTATAGTTAACAATATGTATGAAAAGAGGTGCTGTGGGAAGAGAGAGGAGAAACACATAGAATGAGGCTGGAACTTCAAGCAGGCCAGAAACCCAGTCTTACCTGGGATGGGCAGAATTTGGGAATGCCTGAGACTGGCCTTTGATTCAACTAGGCCAATTATATTTGCTCAGAAATGAGCTGGAACTGGCTCACTGCAGCAACCAAGCTGATGAGAGGGGTGGAGGTAAATATTCTCAGAGCAAGATGCATTTGAATCCTGATATATTTTATTTATAGTTTGCACCAGCTGCTCTAGCCCAGAACATGTAGCCTAACTCAGAACAGTGGAGTAGCCATGGGGGCAAAAAGACACCTCTGTCAAGAAGGGTCTACATTGAGTTTCTTGAATAACCTCACAGGACCTCCTCCTTAGTCAGATGGTATCACTGGCAGCTGGTGCCTTCATGGGATTTGAAGCCAGGGGCTCTTATTTCTCCAATAGAGAGAATAATGTTGAATAGCCCATTTTACACAGCCACGTCTATATAGCTCTAGGATCATGCATCCTTTTACTTGTATCAAAGTAACTTTGGTCCTTTGTCTACGCCTATTGGCCACTTTCCATCAACCACTGTCCCTTTTGAAACAATCACGTATAGAACATTTAAGTGATTTTCAAAATAATGTTCATGTGCCAAAGTATGATGCCTATAAAAAGTGAAATGAAACATACCTATGTCCATGAATGTGAATGTAGATGGAAATGAAGAAGCACTTCCAAGGTTATTGATAGCGGTAACCTTGGCTACATAACTGGATTCAAGTGATTCAGGGGTTAGGGTGATTCCAAGGTCCAAATGGTCACAGTACTGATCATTACATTGCTTCTGCCAAGTTAAATTGTTTGATCCATTTAACCTGTAAATAAAAGAATTGTGTTTAGCAGGACATTCTGTGTGCTATTTTCTTCTTTTAGTACAAAAGAACAAAATGTTCCAATATTTAAAGTTCTAGACATTTTTTTTAAGGTCAGTCTTATGAAGAGGGGATACACTATGGGAACATTTGTATTCTATGGTCATAAACGGGACCATATTTCCCCTCTCCTTTTTTTTGGTAGGACTGAGATTTGTTTGACATTCATATAGATGAGTGACCATACCTATATTCCCCCAATTCCCAAAACCCCAGTGACATCTGGGCTCCTCAGGGCAGATGCAATCATTCTCCAAAGGATCCATGGCCACCTTGGCCTTGACTGCACAGAAGTGCTAGTTCCTAGTATAGACTGGAACCCTGGGCCCCACCCACTTTTTTCCCCCATCTCTTGCTCACTTGGGCACAGTGTACCCAGCTGGATCTTTGGATGGGATTATGGAATCAACTCCAAGGAACAGACTATCTCAGATGCTCTCATTTTGGACTCTCAGGTCAGGCAAAGGTGCTTTCAAAAGAAACTCCTCCAAGGCTAATGGAAAGCTACTACAAGGAACAGTCTATTTATATATATCATGACCCCATGAGTCTGCAACTGTAAAAGAGGAAAGGGATATAATGCAGCCAGTCTAACTCTACTAGAGCAGGGAACAATGTCCGTAACATGGGCCTTCGATGCGCTGAAGAGATCTCTGAGTTAAACATCAGACCTAAGGCTTTCGTTCTCACACTTTAGATAAATGAGCCTGTTTTTGTTTGTTTGTTTGTTTTAAGATTTTATTGGGGAATTGGGGGAGGGGAACAGTGTTGGGGAATTGGGGAAGGGGACCAGTCAAGTTGTTTTTCTTCAGTCTTCATTGTGGAGGGCGCCAGTCGCCATCTGGCTTCCGGTCGGCAGGCAGCTTGTGGCCTCTAAGCTCAAGGTGCTGTGTTCAGTCTTAGTTGTGGGTGGGCGTAGCCACCATCCCATGCAGGAGCCGAACCCAGCAGCCTTGTTGTTAAGAGCGCACACCCTATCCACTGAGTCATCCAGACAGCAGCTCAGCTCAAGGTGCCAGGTTCAGTCTTAGTTGCAGGTGGGCATAGCCTACCATCAAATAGGCAATCTTGTTGATATACCAGCTGAGCCATCCTGCCACCTGTTGGCAGCTCAGCGACAGCTCAGCTCGGGCGCAGCGTCACTGGCCCATGTGGAAATCGAACCAGTGGCCCTGTTGCTCAGAGCTTGTGCTCTTAAGCCAACTCTTAACCAACTGAGTCACTCAGCCGTCCCTGAATGAGCCTGTTTTAATTGATGAACACTAGGTTTTTTGTTTTTGTTTTTTTAAAGTATGCAATTATCCAGAGGTGTTTATTGCTTCTTTTCTTTGGTAAAACTAGAAGTTGTAGAGATTTCTAAATGTCACCTAAGACCCACAGAAAAGCTGCAGAAACTGCCTCTCACTCACTGTAAAATATATGCAGTATATAGGTGGGTGTCTCGTCCTCTGTCCCAGGTGCAGGCCACAGTCCCACGTTCTCCCTTCTGTATACAAGACAAGTTTTGAGGCTGTTCTGGAACAACTTTAAAAATAAAGAGCAAAATCATATATTTTAAATAGCACACAGGTGATATTTCAATCACATTGTTATTATTTCTCAACAAGATAACACTTCCTCTATGTCTCCCATATCTAGACAAGCTGAGAGCTAATTTAGATTCTATCAAATTCAAATTTGCCTCTGAGGTGAGAAATTCTTTTACTAACAATAGTAATAATAGTGAACATGAATTGAATACTTACTATATACCAAGTCCTATGCTAAGTGTTTTATGTGCATTTTTTTCTCAATTAGACATCATAGCAGCTACATCCAGTACATACTATTATTATCCTCACTTTATTGAAGAGAGCACTAAAACTTAGAGGTTAAGCATCTTGCCCAAGATTACAAAACTACAAAGTGGCAGAATCTGGGCTCCAGCCAAGAGGTGGCCGACTTGAGAATAAGCCTTCACCACCATATTCTACTATTCTCCCTGACAGGTAAAAATCTAGGGCTGGGTCCATTACCCTGGTGATGATAAATGTACCTTTTCAGAAAGAAGCCCACTCAAATATTAGTAACCTTTAAAAATTTGGAGCTCTTTTTCTCGATTGACCTGAAATTTGCTGCCAAGATATTTCTACCCACTGGCCCTAGTCATAGCCTTCTGGGCTGTACCACCTAAATCTAATTTCTGCACAACACTTGGAGTACTTTATGAACATTTATAAATTAATTCTTTATGTACATAGATACTGAGTACCTTCCATGGGCTAGGCACAGTGCTAGCTGTGGAAATACAAAGGTATACAGGCAGACATAGCCCTTTCTAAACTAAGGTATGTATTTTTAAATGAAGACATTTTATAGTCAAAGACAGAACCCACAGCTAGGAGTTTCTCAGATGTAACAGTCATCTTATTCTACCCTCATCCTGAGACCCACATGTAGACGTTTCCTTCTTGGGTGAGAAAAACAAGTATCCACTAAAGCCCTAGATATTGTCTGCACTGAAACAAGCTGTAATTAATGGTATAAATGTTTTTTGTCTTTGGCACACACCGTATACTGGGCACTGTGCCTTGGCCAAGTTGACTTCTCAGACCTTCATTTTCTTTATCTATAAAATGGGTATGACAAAGTGTAGCTCATATAGTTTTAATAGAATAATAAACTTTTCTTAGAATAGACTTTTCCTCTTTTCCTTCTCTCTCTCTCTCTGGGTATACACACACACACACACACACACACACACACACACATACAGGGGGTGCCAAAATGTATATACATGACTTGTATTCATCTTTTGTTATCGGTATATATTGAGTATTACAATTTTAATACAGCTTTTTCCCTTCTTAAAATGTGTACACATTTTTTTGGCATCCTCTGTATATGTTTATAGATACACTTTATACATCAATATACACTACTTATGACTGAGCTACTTAAAATACTATGTTAACTTTTCATTTTATATACAACTTTTTGTTTATCTTGGAGTTAGTAATTAATTCTCTTGTTTTTCCATTTGTTTAGTTTTGTTGTTGTTGTTATTAATATAGTTCCAAGCTCTCAAGCCAACTATTTGAATGGTTGTTCAACATATTCAGATGCATTGAAAATTCTATCAATTTCATCTTCTTGAAGACCTCTTTCTTGGAGCCTTGTGAACTTTCCAATACAATGGGTCTGCCTCCACACCTGGTACAAAGCTGTCATTCTGGGATTGGCAATCTTCAGTGTCCCAAAAATGCCTTCTCCTTTTTCCTGTGTCGGAGCTCCTGTTTCTTAGATCCAATGCTTTCTTCTTTCTTGATTTAATTATATATTTTGGTGGAGTATATCCTCCAGTAGTTAACTGGGAAAGGGTGCAGTAGAGAAAGTGTTTTGAGCTTGGCTAAAATGTCTTTATTCTACCCTCACACTTGACTGATACTTTGGCTGAGTATAGAATTCTAGGTTGAAAAGCATTTTCATTCAGGATTTTGAAGACCATGCTCTTTTGTCTTCTACATTCTAGGCTGCTGTTGAGAAACCCAAAATCATTCTGATTCTTGAACCATTATAATGGTCTATTTATTCTCTTTGGAAATTGTAGACTCTTCTCTTTGTCACCACTATTCTGAATTTTCACAGAGATGTGCTTAATGAGGGTCCATTTTCTTTTATTGTTTTCGATTCTCAAGGAGTTCATACATTCTGGAAACTTTTGTCTTTCAGTTTGGGAAACATTCTTGATTTATTGCTCTGAGATTCTCTCTGTTTTTTTCTTTCTAAAAATCCCTATTTTCCATAGGTTGGACTTCCCTCTAATTTTATATTTTATCCTCTATATTTAAAAACTTTTGGTGTCTTTGCTCTAGTATGAGGAAAAAACCTCCTCAGTTTATATTTCTACCCTCCTATTGAGTTTTTCATTTCTGCTTATTTTTTTTGGGGGGGGGAGAGCATATTTCCTATTCTCTGCATATTTCCCTCTTTTATAGCATTCTATTTTTGTTCTGTATGCAATATTTTCTGTTAATTCTCTAAGGGTATCAAGGATAGTTTTTTGTTTTTTAACATTTCTTCTCCATGCATATACTCTATTTCTTCCAGTATCCTTATATGCTTTGTTCCACATGTTTGTTTTGGTTTCTGTCTTTCATGTTAGACATTTTCCTCAGATCCTTGTATTTTTACTCATATATGTGAGTGAGACACTAAATTAGAATTGTAGCTCTACATGTGTGTCAGTTGAGTGGCATTTGCTGACTCTGGGCATCCCTCCAGGGTGATCTGGTTAGGTTTTCTGGGGGAACTGCTGTTGTCGATAATTTTAGCTATTTCCTCTTGGCCTGGTCAGATTGTCTTGAAAAGAATTTTCAAATCTGCATGTAGCAGGGTACAGGCCTGAAGGGAGCTGTATGTAAACATTCCTTTAGTTCCTCTGTGTTTTTTTTTTGTATGGTACTAACAATCTCAACCAAACTGGCTGAAACTAGTTCAGTGTCCCTCTGATACTCCAGTCTTATGCCAGTGTAGTGGAGCAGGGATTGTCTGGCTACATGGAATTGGGAAGGGGATCTAAGAATCTGTTTTTAAAATAGATTTTTAATCAACTTTCTCATTTGTAGCCCCACTTTTACTCTCATTCCCAGAAGTACATGGTATCATCTATTTCTGAGTCTTTCTAGGATAGAAGCTTCTGCATGAAATCAGGTTGCATCTTGACTTCTCACTGCCAGCAGTAGGCTAAGCCAGTTATCACCAGTCCACCTGCTTTCTAGCTTCCAAAATGTTTTGATATATCTCTCCTCCCATTATTTTTGTCCTTTAGGGTTTGTAACTCTAGAAAACTTTCCTTATTGCATCTTGGGTTTATTTCAGGGGGAATGAAAGCAAACACATGTGTTGAAACCACCATCTTTACCCTAACCATGCATAGAGTCTTCTGACTGCCAAATGAGATATAAAGTACCTGATACTTTTACATATGACAAAATTAGTCCTCATCTTCACCTTTTCTCCTAAAAGTTTGCAGAGACTCTCATTTCAAAGACCCCAGCTTTAACCCACAAATCATCTTTCTCAATGTGAGTTCCATGGACCATGAAATCAAAGTGTCTACTTCAGCCCAGGACTTGGTTTTGGCAGAGAACTGTCTGTCCCAGGGGAAAACAGACCTAATTCTCCTCAATACAAATGTATAATAGCTTATGCCAAGGAAAGGACAGAAATCAAAACCTCTGAAAGTTAAAATAGTTTACAATATAATAAATCATTGAATATTATTGTTGTTTTTAGAAACCCTTCTTATTATGGGAAATAAAGTTTTAGAAAAATGGCTTTCAAAAATAATCAACAACCAAACATATATTGAAAACAACCGAGTAGCAATTCATTGTTTCATTTGTTGCCTTGATTATCAAAATAGGCAATCCTATGTGGATCAATCCTACAAGGTTAAGCTAGAGCACTGATTGCTTAGTTTCTACAGTCTGGATGAGCTCTGGGCAGCAGAGTAGCACAAGCCCAGGAAGGGTCAGGGAAGAAAAGGCTGAAAGGCTATTTCCCCATTCCCAGTTCAGAAGAACCAGGCAGCTTTGTGACAGGCCCTCTCAGGATATGCAATGCCACTATGGATTACTGCTTATCACAAAAAAAGAAAATGGGCTGCTTAATCTTTCACTATATAGTATTAAGCTTACTACCTTGGGTGAAACCAACATTCATTGTGCTTTTTCTTGGAATGACTAGCCATACTCAGAAAAAGGTGTTGCTTCCAGTCTGTCCTTGACCTCAAAGGTGCTATACTTGCTCAGACAGCAGCCACTTGATGGTGTGGTTAAGACCTGAGCACACTGCACAAGCAACATGCTGGTAGCACCACCCAACTGAGCTGCTCCAGATCCTCTTCACCATCTCCCTAGATCTTCTGATTGCTGCAAATTGTCACAAATGCATCTGCATACTCTGGACAGAAAAGTGAAAAATAAAAAGGAGTTGCAGCACTTGAATGTATCTGAGCAACAATAGGAATTGGGACAGAATGGCTAAGGACATCTGCAAGAATACTGACTCCCAAAGATATTGCTAGCCTGCTAAAAAAGAAAACAACAGCAGCACCATGGAACTGACATTACAGGGCTGGGAATGGCTAATACAAATATGCAACGTTGCTTTGGTAAAATGACGAATTACTCGGGTGAAATATTCAAGTGTTCTGAGGATGAGGGAGGTGAGGACCATTGGTGTTTTTTAGAAAACTTCTCATTTTGTCTATAACCAACGCTTCCACTTTTTAAAGGGAAGCGTGCTCAGCCCCCTGGCATGCTGCACACATGCAGCAAAGAGTAAAACTGGACAGAAGTGCAACCCTAGTGCTCATCCCCTAAGTGCCTCCTACGTGCCTGGTACTAGATTAAGCACTTTGTATACAAGGTATCATCTAATCGTTGTAAGCATCTTATGAGGTAGGTGTCAGTATCTTCATAATGTAGATGAAGAAACTGAGGCTCAGAGTATTGACATTGTCTAAGGGTACACTGCTAGTGGCAGGGTTGGAATTCAAAGCCCATGCTCGTTTTATGACACCACAGACTGTCAGAGCTGGGAGTAAGTGACCCATAAGTGGTGGGAACAGGAGACCCTGAGCTGGAAGAGGACCTAGTTTATGTCTTCTTACCCCCTAATGATTTGCTTGGCCATTGCTCAGTGTTCTGCTCAATGCTTCTGGTGACACTCCAGGAAGATTGCCTGCTCACCAGCCATATCCTTATAAGTCACAGAGAAGAGGTTTCCATCTTTCCTGAAATGAGCCTCATTGAGCTCTATATCACTGTCTTTATGACTGGGACCCTGTCCTTGCATCTTGGGCAGCCTGCTGTAGCACTTCCTCCTACTGTCCTCATGCCTCTCACCAGTCACTCCGGAGCTTTCCTGGAACCACAGAGGCACAGAGGGCCACGAGATCTCTCAGGGCCCATGCATGCTCACTGGCTTGTCTGGCTGGGCCTTTCAGGCTGCAGGCTGCACGCTGCAAGCTGCACGCAGGTGTTCTGCTGGCTCGCCCTGTGCATTGTGACTCATGCTGCAGATGCCAACTCTCACATCTTAGTTCTTATCCCCAGCAGCTGCCTGGAGGAACCGGCAGTGTCTCTAGAGGTATGGGGGAGCTGATGCCCTGTGGGTGAACTCTGACCCAGGATAGACAGCTCAGTAACTTAACCACCTCGTCTTTGCTTTGGTACTTTTCTGGCTCACTCCCTCACCCTTCTTTCCCTGCGATTGTACAACTCCCTTTCCTTCATGAAGTTTTGCTTGCATGTCAGTTTTGCTTCAGGGGGTTTTCTGGAAAACATAATAAGTATAACGACAGTTTCCTTTATAACCTCTGCTAAGTATGAAAACCAATGGTCAGGAGTAAGTGTGGATGGAAGAACTATTTTTTGGGCATTACGTTAGAGAGGGGGAAAGTGCTCAGCCCTGGGTACTCAGCCTGGGCTGCATAGGGCAAAAGAGACATCTCTTTCTTCATTTTAGGTTATTGCTTTGAACAAATTGTCATAAGTCAAGAATGAAGACTCAGCTGCAGAGATTCATTTTCCTGCATTGGACTTCAAGGACAACAGGTAAATGGTCTTAATACAACAAAAAGGGAAAGGAGGAAGGAGGGAGGGGGAGAGGGGAAGAAAGTGGGGGGGGGAGAGAAAAAGAGAATGAGAACAGAGGCTTACCAAATAAGACCTCAATTGACTTGATCTCTAGACTTCTCACATTGAGGTGCTCATGGTGCTCTCAAGATAAAAATTTATCTATGTGGTAGGAGAAGAAAGAACACTGTCCTATATTTGGACTTCTGCTTAACACATGACAAATACCAAAAAGATCATCAACTTTTAGGAATTCGGAATGGAATGCTCACCACCAACTGAGACCTCTGCCCCACATATTCGAATCTTCTCAATATTGCTACAGGCCAGTTTGCAGACAAACAGTGTTGTACCCAGAGGAAGACCTGAGTCTTGAAAACTGAGGGTGTGACCCTGCTGTGACTTGATTGTTTCGCTGAACTTGTAGAGGATCAACTTGTCATTACGGGAATACCAAGAACAGCCTTGTTTGGGCTTTAAAGAGCATGAAATGTTGACAGCTGATCCAAGTGAAATTACATGGGAAGGCTTCACAGTCACATCTCCTCTCCTGCACACATCTGCAGTAAGACACAAATGCAATACTCGGTCAGCACATAAGAAACCCATTTCAAAACGGAGGGTTTGTGTAATTCCCAAAAGCAGGGGAAAATTACCCCCCTTCAAATCATGCAAAGATAAATAACCTCCGTTGCTCTGGCTGTACTGATGATGCACAATGAGAACAGAAGGCCAACATATTAAAGTCTAACTGTATTTGAATTGAAATATGCATCCTTTTCAAAACAGTAATACTATAACCAAAACTATAAATAGGAAAGTGGTGAGAAAATCGGGTTGGAAGAACATTCAAGAACAGTTCCAGGAAAAGCCAATCTCTTTATATGTAAATTATTCACCAGACTACTAAAAAGTACTTCCCAGAATAAATCACATTTGTTTCCATCCCCATTTATGATTTATAATGCTTACTTCAATACTCATACCGGAAGAAAAGAAAAGAAACAATTTTAAAAAGCTGTTACAAACAGCTTTAAGAATAATTCCCTTTTTGCTATATTAGTGGTATAAAGTATGTATAATCTATAACATTATTTTATAACAGAAAATACTCAGGGGCTCTGGTGTGTTTGTATTTGGCAACAAAAATGGAAATTAGGTCTCACCGTGCCATATTTTGGTATCCCTTCAAGATGTAAGATCCTGGACTGGATGAACCATTATCCAATACAGCCAATATGAAATTACATAAATGTATTCTTTTTAAAAGAGTTCTCCATATTATCTACTATATGCCAGTTACCACATTTAACTCTAATTTAAAAGAGAGGCCATTCTTACTCTCCATAAGTTTTTATATAAATAAATATTACAATTATTCAGAATTAACAGTTTTTGGTGGTACTTAGTAATTGCCAATAAAAGAACCTCAGGGTTATAGATTCACCCTGAATTTTTAGATCTGATTAACACCTCCATTGAAAGTCTTTTTTGGGTAATTGTAAGATTGCTTGGATCAACTACCATAAATAGGGATTGATAAAAAAAAGTTATTTAAATCTAATAAAGGAAGTGCTGAAAACTCATTTAACGTAAGTTCTCACTTCTATTTTCAGAACGAAAACTAAGTCTCTCTTATCTTACTTATATGTTTGTTTTCTGCTTCTTTGATCTTTGATTCTAATAAGCCAGAAAGTCCAAAATAATCTCCCAATAGAAAAAGTAAAGAAAATGCAAGCCGTTTTTTTTTAGCATAGCTGAATTCACCCATAAATACCCTCTATTAAATACACTATAATGTAAACCATTAATTCATGATGCTGAGCTTGGTTACCTAGTCACTTTCTTAAGAGGAAATGATATGATTGGACTCTTACATGAATCATTAGTATAAATTAAATAAAATACTTACTAGTTACATACCTAGAACCAGACTTATCTGCTTACATGACAGGAGGTTGACTACAAAAGACCAACTATCAGAACATTTACCACAAATGCATATTTCATTTGTAACTGAAAATTTAAACCACAAAGCCTTCCACAGATTAGATTAAAGAAATAGCTTACCTATTTTTGCTTTAACTAACAGTGACATGATGATAAAAATAAGTGCCAAATAGCACACTCTCACTGTATGCGCCATGAACTGTCACCTCTGGAACACAGCTCTATGTTTTTCCTTGTAAAAGAAGACAGATTTATTCATGTTAAATATACTCAGAAAATACCAGAACTAACATCATTCAGAAAGGCTTAGAATGCCCCCTTAATTTTCTCTATATTGTTAAGATTTTTTTTAAAATAATGAACTATACCTTTAAAACTAGTAAATTGAGTAAATCTACCAAAGTTTCTTAATCCAGTCATCTACCGATGGGCATTTTGGGATGGAGATAGTCTCAGAGACACAGAGGAAGAACTGAGGGTTGTTAGTTGGGAGGGGGTGGGGATGAAGGAGAGGGGAAGGGATGAGACAATACAAATTGGTAATTGCAATATGGCCTCAGGGATAGAAAAAGATAGTCCGAGGAATACAATCAATAACGTTGTAAGCATTTCTTAGGGGGCCAGATGGACCAATGCCCTTTAGGGGAGTCCACTTCATAGTTGATGTAGAGGCCTGACCACCGCATTGTATTTCTGAAACTGATGTTGAATAATACTGTATGTCAACTATAATTATATATACATATAACCTCGGGACACGGAGTAGAGTGCGGGAACGGATTCAATGGAATTGTAATAGATAAGCATGATATCGGGGGTGGAGGGCAGTGGATGGGGGGAGGGGGGTTGTTACTTTGTGAGGGTGAAAAGGGTAACTATTGCATTGTTCTGTACACCTGAAACTAACAATAAAAAAAACAAAAAACAAAAAAAAACTAGTAAATTGAAAATCTTAGTCACCTCTAATCCCCATGTCACTTAATCTTCTTGGGGTCAGCAAAAGGTGGGAGAAGAGACATGGCCTTTGGGTTTAAATACTTTGAGGCTATTGGCAAGTTATTCATTCTTCTGAGCCTCAGTCCTACACTATTTTTTTTTCTTCCAAACAGGATGAATCATCATAGTCAAGCATAGCAGTGTGAACCCCCAAGACTAATGAGAATTTCTGATCTAGTCATGTGCTTCTGGAAGTAAAAGATTAAAAAGTGGCTCATAACACTCCCTGGAACTTAGTAAAAGATTGATCTCTTTGGCAGGAAAAGAGGAATTCCAAAGGTTCTTACGGGATTGTTTGGGTTTTCTATGGAAGTTCAATTTTACTTGTGTGTTTGCTTGCTTATTTATTATTTACTATTTTACTAAGTATTTTCATTTTGAATGGTTTGGAAAATACAAGCTGGTGATTTCTGATTGTTTCCAAATATAAGACTAAGGAATGGCTCTACTAGTCATTAGCAAATTCTCTAAATCCTATTAAAGGGCTAAAAATTCATAAAATAGGCTGGGAAGTTCTGTGATGTCAGGCCACTGGGAACCAGCTAATACAAATGTTCACTTCTTATTCCCATACCTAGAAATGTGCCAGAACATAGTGGAAAGGCTCAGAAAAATTCACTTATTCATTCAACAGTGATGGGTACCTTTCATGTGCCACACACAATGTTGAGTGATAGAGACATAACAGTCTTGCCTTAGTGGGCTCCTAAGAAAGTGTCCACTAGCTCCTTTGACTCCTCTAATGCTAGCCTCATCATCTCTCGGGGTAGCCCCAAATAATATTAGCATCTTTTCAATACGCTATTCCTTCTCCTCCTGATGTCTAACTCTTGGAGGATATCAGCTCACTCAAGACATTATTTTTTTCTCTGTTTCTACTCTCTACCGGGGGGATCTCATCTTCGCCTGGTGCTAGATATCATCGATATGCTGAAGACTCTCAGATGTATGTCTTGCACTCAGACATCTCTCTGAGCTCCAGTCTCACATGTCTGTCTCCTTGGCATCACTTCTTGGACCCCTAACAGACTACTCAACATTAACACGTGCGGTTCGAATTTTTGGTCTCTTTACTCTAAACTGGTTCTTCCCCCAGCCTTTTTAATAATCTCAGTGAATAACATCTTTATCCCTTAACTTGCTCAAAAACCTAGAAGTCACCCATGATTCCTCTCTCATCCCCTAAAACCAAACCATCACAAAGACCCTTCAATTTTACCTCCAAAATACATCACAGATCAATCCACTTCTCTCCTTTTCCTGCGTCCTCACCCTTGTCCAAACTACTATCATCTCTCCCCTAGATGACTAAAGTAGCCCCTTAATGTGTCTCTCCAATCCATCTTGGCCCCTTTCTAAATCATTTCCACATAGCTGACTACCTTTTAAAAACATAAATCATATTACCACTTCATATTAAAAACATATTACCACTTCATACTACCACCACTATTTAAAACACTTCAACAGATCCCCATTGCTAGAGTTAGATCCAAAGTCCTTACCACACATGCTCTCTCAGCCACTGCATGGCCGCACCTCTCCCGTCTGGCCAACATCATTTGCTCTACTGTTTTTGCCCTGCTCACTCTGCTCCATTCACACTGGCCTTCAGAACCTTCCTTGAACAAGACACATCTTTTGCTGCCCTGGGGACTCTGCACTTTCCATTTCCTCTGCTAGAATCCTCTTCACCCGGATTTTAGGGGCTGACTTACTCACATCCTTCATATCTCATATCATGTGTCACTTCCTCAGAGAGTCCCTCCCTGACCACTTAGCTAAAGTGGTCTTGCCCAACTAGCTAGTTTTTACTTATTACTGCCTTCTTGGTACAATCTGTAATGACTCAATGTATGTACTCGATTACTGTTTTGTCATCTATCTTTGTGCTAGAATTTAAGCCATCATGAGAGCAGAACACTGACAGTTTTGCTCACTGCTGTGTTCCAGCACTTAGCACTGGGAAAGAATATTTAATAAATGGTTATTAAGAGAAGGAAGGGAGACGGAGGGAGGAGGGAGGGAATATGACCTATAGAAAACTCCCGAAACATCCCTGTGGTAGGCAGAATGATGGCCCACCAAAGATGTCTATGGCCTAATGCCCAGAACCTGCGAATGTATTGTTACATGACAAAAGGACTTTAGAGATATGTTTAAAATTAAGGACCTTGAGATGGAGAGAGTGTCCTGGATTATACAAATGGGCCCAATCTATTCATGTGAGTCCTTAAAAGTGGATGAGAGAGGCTGAGAACTGTGATGTGTGATGGAGTGGACCTGCTGCTGCTGGCTTGAAAGATGGAGAAAGGGGGCCATGAGCCAAGGAATATGATGGCCTCTAAAGTCTGGGGATGGATCTCAGCTTACAGATAACATACAATGTATTTCTTATGGGTCTTGGTTAAAAATGTTTGAGAAACACTGATCTAAATAGAAATCTGACAACTTCCCTCTCTCTAAACCATAAAGTCCAAGGCCATGACTTACAATGGCCTCTCTGAGCTAATTGCTGTCTTTATCACCAGCCACATCTACTGCCACTCTCTGCTGACACTCAGCTGTCTAGTAACACTGAGCTGCTTATAGTTCCCCCGCACATCTTATCCCAAGTCGTGTGTCAGTATCTTTTTTTTTTAAAGATTTTTACTGGGGAATTGAGGGATGGGAACAGCGCTGGGGTTTTGGGGGAAGGGGAACAGACAAGTTGCTGTCCTTCTGTTCTTCAGTCTAGTTGTGGAGGACGTTGCTTCACTGGCCCAAGTTGGCACCATCATTGCGCTCTTCCTGGGTGAGGCAGATCAGTCGCCGCTTCTGGACAGCCGCTCACAGCGGCTGCTGGCGGCGGCTGCTGGCTATACACGGTAGCCCATGGCAACCCACTGCAGCAGGGTCTGCAGCCTACACCATTGCTGGCGACTCCAGGTTGAGCTGTTGTTCAGCATCTTAGCTGTAGAGGGCAGTGTCACTGGCCCTCATATGTGGGATCCGAACCAGGGCCCTCTGGCGTCCCAAGCCAGCTCTTAACCAACGCGCCACTCGGCTGGCCCATATGTCAGTGTCTTTGTTCATGCTACACTGTTCTTAGGCTGGCTCATCCATCCCAACTCAGCTCAGATACCTTTTATTCGGTCATTCATTCAACACTTATGTATTTAGCAGTTTCTATGTGCCAGGGGCTTGAGACAGAGTGGAGAAGAAGACAGAAAGCATTGTGGCTCTCATTCAACCAACATTCTGGAGTAGGGAGACACACGACAAGCAAATAAATAGCAATCAAATAGATTTAGTTAATGACAGAAGAACACAGGAGTGGCTAAAGGAAGAGAGAGCCTGAGGAGACGAGAAGCGGGTCCATGAAAGTGTTTCCAGCAGGTGAAGCTGGAGCTGAGGTTGGCACAGGCCAAGTGAAAACACAAAGCATTTTCCTGACAGAAGAAATGGTGAGTGCAAAGCCAGAGGCACAGGAACAAGCTTGCTGTGGGTGGGGTCAGAAATAAGGTCACGGTGGCTAGGGAAAGTGGCCGTGGGGAGAATCGTATGAAATGAAATTGGAGAAGGCAGGAGCCAGCTCTGCCACGGGCGTGTTTGCCACGGAAGGGAGCATGGATTTTACCCTCAAATCTATGAGAAACCACTGATTTTTTTTTTAAGTTTGATTAGAGATTTTATTTAGTTATTGAACTGGGTTTTAATTGGGGGGTGTTACAAGATATGAATTACATTAAACACACATACGCAGAAACAAAACACAAACAAACAAGCCCCTTGTAAGCGGGCCAGCGTGGGAGCAAGCAGACCAGTTGGGAAGCAATTGCAGAGATCCAGGTAAGAAACGATGATGATGTGGATCACGGTTATAGTACTAGAGATGGAAAGAAGTTGTCAGATCTTAGGAAGCCTTACTTATGTCTTCAGGTCAGACTGAAGCCTCCTACTAGTATCTTCAGAGCATCCTGCATCCTCCTGTCTTAGCACCAGTCTTACATAGAACTAGTTTACTTAGGTATCTACCTGTCTCCTCCATTGGCTTGCAAGCTCCTCATGGGCAGAGGTCACAATTTGTGGCATATAGTAGGTGTGTGCTGAACTGAATGAAACTTAAATGGTTTTTCTGTGTTCATCTATTTTACTTCTAGTTTAGTTTAATGTAATTATGTTAAAACTATATTAAATCTTATTCTGCAACATTGTGACTGATGCCATTAAGAAGTTTTTATTGTCGTTACCTTAGTTGCTTCATTAAAATTTGGAATATTCTCCATCAAGGAAATTATGAATTGTACTAGAAGATAACTGAATACACAGACACATAGGGATTAAATAGGCTTCTGCTTCCTAGCTGCACAGGGTACCTACGGGGTATCTTTCAATGTGTATTGCAATTTATGTAACATTCTCCAAATTGTAAAATATTCAATACTAAAATATTCAGTTGATTATAAAAAAAATTTGAATGTGTATATATAAAATATACATGTATATATACAAACTATATATGAAATAGGCAAAATAGAGGATACATTTGAGTTTATATCATACATTGATCTAAGCACAAACATGTTCATTTTCTCTGAATTCCAGGTAAAACAGCTTTCTCCATTTATAAGAAACTCAGAACCCCAAAGACCTTCAAGTAAATGAGGTATCTTCCAATAAAATGAAACCTCTTATCAACTGTAAACATCCTTCATTCAGCCTGCCTGGAGAGAGTTGCTATTAAAACTACAGCTCTATCTTGCATCAGAAAAACAAAGAGTATGCTATGTCATTGACTCATCACTCAAGTTGTGACAGTTTCCAGACAGTGAAAACAATATGTCTCAATGAGGGAGGCGGGGACCAGCCAGAAATAGAGCCACCGGCAGGAGGCAGAGGCTCTTCCCCCATTGCTCCAGGAAGAAACACAAAATACGCAACTACTTGAAATCTTATTTTACTAGGCCAGGAAAAACCCTTACCACAGGTGATAATTTCACATAGGCAGAAACACTTTCTACTTCCACATTACTTTTCTTCTGTAGCACCACATTAAGTTCAAGAGGCAGCATGGTATTGTGGAAAGAAAGAAGCTAGAGAATCTCAGTTCCACTGTGTGCGATTAACCGTAAGAGTGCCACTTCCTCATTCATGCGATGGGTACAGTAAGTAATACAGACCTAGACAACGTTTTGGGAAGGTTAATGTGATAGTGTCATGGACCGTGAGAATACCTAGCACAGAGTAGGCACTACACAGAGCCTAACTCCCATTTTCCTTCCTGCCACCTGTTTTTGCATTTCTTGTTTAAATCACTACTTTCAATGTACTGGAATTACATGTTTTGTGAGACCAGATAAAATCATACGTTAGGCACTCTTTATGCTTAACCTTGGCTATCAGGTAATTTAATAAGTCAGAGGAAGAGGAAACCTCAAAGGTTTGCTAGTAAGTACCATGTGCCTGCTGCTTCCTTCCCCTTCAACAGCTGACATTTGAGTCTGGGCCAGGGCAGAACCACCAAGGGAATGTTCTGATGGGCACCGGGGCTGGCTGTCTTACAAACGCATGCCATTAATTACCCATTTGACTCAATGAAGCAGGGCACAGAATCCTTCCCTTCTGGCAAAGATACTTAGAGACATGTCTTACCGGTATGAGACTTTGGAGGTCAAAATGAAAGATGTTACATTTTACAGGTTGATAAATCAAAGCCTGGAGAAAAGAGCGAACTTACCAAAGGTCACATTAACAGCAGAATCCAGATCAGAACATAGGTCTCCAGATTTCTAATCCAACCTTACTTCCAGCATATGAGGCTGCTTCCAATCAGTAGCAGCAGTAGCAGCAGTAGCAGCAGTAGCAGCATAATACTAAAAATAATGACAAGTTAACACTACCTTTAATAGAAATGCTAAGCCTGTTGATCTCTGTTCCAGGCACCATGCACATTACATACAATCTTTATGACACACACCTAGTAAAGCACTTATAATGCCTAATGCTTTAATCTTCAGAAGTTTGATCATTATTTCTGACGCCCATCTCCCTCAAAAGAGGATGAAACACCCAGTGCATATATGATATGTAACCATCTTTAAGGAGTCATTCCATCATGAGGATGGAAAAGGAAAATCAAATCCACCAAGTAGCTAACTTGCAACTTAGTCATTGGGGCCAACCTTGTCTTCTGTATGAGCTAAGTCATTAAAAACAAACAAACAAATAAACAAACAAACAAAACAGTTTCTTGACTGAAACATTGTCTCCTTTTCCCTTCTGTGTCTGCTATTTGGTGAAGAATCTAACATACAACATGGACAAATGCTGGCTTGTCAGTCCATGATCAAATCAGCCCCTTCATGCCATGTTAGATGGTTTGAAGGGGAAAGGAAAGAAACACATCAACCCTCTCTGCTTTTCTATCTTTCTACTCAATAGTCCCATCACCCTTTACATGAGCCAAATTGGACACACACCCATTTCCCTTTCTTATGAAGCTGCTAAGGCTTTCGTGAATTTTCTCTCACCTCACATTTATAGCATTTGTAGTCCTAATTTTACAATGCACAGGAACTTTCTTCTTTTCCTCAAATTCAGTAGGCTTCTGAAGTTTGGGTGCTTTTAAATTTTCAGTCAGAGTGTTTCCTCTTTTCCCTCTTTATCATTTTTCTTCACAAAGATCCCCTTATACTTTGCTTCTTCCTTTTCTGTTTTTCTGGAAAGTTCTTTCTATCAATTCTATGTGTCTTTATTTCAATAATTCAGATATATCTGACACAATAAACAGGCACCTGAAATGTTGTGTGTAAACAAGTTACATTTAAAATGCATTAGGGAATCTTATCCTGCCCCAACCCCTGAATCATTTGTACTGTGAGCTGTCTTATATATTGAACAAGCATTACCTCAATAGAACAATAAAAAATAGAAACAAAAAAAGAAGAAACAAGACATGGATGGAGTCTTGAAGAAACAAGGTACTTTCAAATCAACTGATGCTATTTGCTACATTTCCTCTTGTCTTTCTTTGATGAGCTCCACAAGCCCACCATATTCACGACACTTGTTCAATTAAGTTTTAACAATCCAACCTTCTCTAGTTTTACTCTCTGCATCCTTCTAGAGCTATAAAGAAAATAAGCCATCTTCTGTTGGGAAGGATGATGACCAACTGGAAACAGCACAGTGTTTGGGGCCAGAGGCCCTGGCTGCTATTCTGGTTCCTCTACTTCTATCCCAAGTGACTTCACATTTCACTTCTCATTTCATCATCGCAAGTAACTTCACATTTCAAAATCTTTTTTCCTTGTTTGTAAAATGATAGCCAACATTTATGGAGAAAATTAAATCTGTTTCACTGACTTTTCTTAGTTTATTGGAAAGGTCTCTCCTTGGACACCCTCAATCATCCTATTTGGGGGCTGAGGGTTTACCTTTGGATCTTGCATACTGTGAAATCCTGGCAAGTTTTGCTTTACCTTGAGTTGTTTCATAAACTGCTCTGAGGCATTAAAATATTGAAGTGCATTACAATTACTTTGTTTTTGAGAGTTTTCTAAGAATTTCACAATTATATTAAGATAATTGGAAGTACACTGTAGGGGGACTAGTAATCACCATTCTGCAATGTTCCTCAAGGTCTAAGAATTCAGCTGAAGTCTCTGTACTAACAGCCTCATGTCTCAGCATCTCTGCCTGACATGTTACTTAACGTTTTCCTTTTCCTCTGCATATCACCTCAAAAGAGATATACATTAAGATTCTAATCTTAATAATCTTTTATAGGTATTGACTTAGCAATTTATCACAATTCAGAGCATATAATTGAGTTGTTAATATTTGGTCTTCTACTATATAAAGTAACTATCAGTATCTCTATTGTATAGGTGGGGTAATCTTCAAGGTGACCAAGATAACACACACACACACACACACACACACACACACACATGCACAAAACTCTGAAGAAAATTTAGAATTAAATTAATCAGAACTACTTTCCATGCTTGAATTTCCTGTAAAATGAGAATAAAAATAGCCTCTCCCTCACAGGATTATTGGGTAGGTTAAATGAGAAGCTCTTAGCCCAGTGACTGGTATATAGCAAGAGCTCAGTAAACAGTATCACTTGCTATTATTAGAAGAAAAGGGATCATATCACTTACTTTTCAAGGATATTATCAGAATTAAGTTAGAGAGCCTTGCTTTTTGACCTCTCTCTTTGCCCATGTATCTGGCCCACCAGTGAAAGATTAATTTGATTAAAACTAGGCCTCGTACCTCCTATATAATAAGTAACTTCATGTCACCTATCATTTGTGACATACTAAGTATTCTCATAATTATTGTCTCCCCCAGAGTCTTAACTTCTTGAGGACAGGGACTGGGTCTTACATTTCTTTATATTCTCTACAGCGACCTGCACAATGTGTTGAACATAATAGATGTTCAATACATAGCTGTACTTTTAAAAAAAGAGCTACCATTAGTAAAAAGCACCACAAGGTTCCAAGAGCAAAGGAAATTGGACAAGGCTTCTTGGGGATTTGGCTCTCTTTACAGGTTAGTTGGCACAAATTTACATTTAGAAGTTGAGAGGACTGTTGTGAGTATAATTATAAAGATGGCAAATAATTGGCTAGGGAGCAAGGCAGGTGTGTGATGCCTCAAAAATAAGTCCACAATTGACAAATAATGTGCAACATCTACTGTGATTTGAGGATTCTTCTTCCATAAAAATCTAACAGGTGTTTTAGAATGTTTTTTTCACACTAGGACTCATTCTAATACAGGAAAGATTCAGAGCTTGCCAAAATTTTGGAATTTACCATACTATGTAAACATCACGATATGCAAGAAAGATGACGCAAGATAAGTGAATGTTGCAAACTCTTCCAGAACCTTTCCTGCCTAACAAAGGGATTGAGAATTTCACATTAAAATGGAGAGGAAAGTGTCAGCTCTTAGCCACTAAGGTCCTTTCAGTTATATGTTGGGCAGAGATAACCATTACTTGTTAATGGAAAATGAGAATCTAATGTTTGTTTGCCCAACTGGAGGTGGCTATAATGTTATAAGCCTGAGTTGCAACAGCAAGGAGAGCTGTGTTTGGCACCAGAAACTTGTGAGACTATCCCGTGAAAGTGCAAACGTGTCCACATCTGTAAAATGGGAATACTATTATAATAACCACTTCACTGGGTTTTTAAAGTGTTATATAGGATAACAATGTGTACCCAAGGGCCAGGTACATAATAGGTGCTCAAGAAAGATTTTATCAACACAGGATATATACATAGGGGACTGCAACAATTATCCAGAGTTTAAAAAAAGGATAAAGACTAATTTTGCCCTGTTCTTTAAGGGAAAAGTCTTTTTGTATGCTTTGGGGTTGCTATTGTTAAGACCTATATCTAGACCTTGATATATAAGATCCTAATCTCTTACAATGCTTATATTTAGTGCCCTTCAACCAGGTGAGAAGGGTCTCCTTAAAGAGACACTTCACAGATGAAAAAACTGAGGCTGGTCAGTCAACTCACCCCTGCATTCTGCTAGTAACTGGCTAGGCAGGGACTCTGGGTCTGTCTACAGAGGCCATAGGAAAGTGCTGCCAAGAAAGGGACAATTCACCCCCATGCAAGACTAAGTAAGAGCCTCAATATATTACAGACGGTCCATTTTCAAGCCCCGAGTCATGCCTGTGGGCCGGGACCAAGGCTGGACACTGAGGGGTGCTCTCTGTCCTTTTCCAGATGCGATCTCCTCCCTGCCGCAAGCACCCATGATTCTGGTTCGGGTACTCAGCCTGCTCGCCCCCTCTCTTCCTTCTTGCCAAACCCCAACCCAGCACCCTCAAGTGAACATCGGCGTCCTGAGAATGAGGACCTTGATGAGGAGAGGCCACCGCCCAAGCCCTGGGGGGAAGAGAAGCACTGAAGCTTCAGCCGGTACCCTGGGGTCCTCAGCACCCCCGCCCCACCCGAGCCCCTGGTCACTCACCGCGCATCGTCAGCCTGCGGGCCGGGACCGGTACGGCCCTGGTGGCCCGAGTGCTCTGGGACGCACGTGTTGCTCTCGGGGCGTCTGGGTGCCAGCGCCCCACTTTCCGCCGCCGCGCCGGCCTGGGAGACCCCGGGGGTGGGCGTTTGCGCGCGGCAGTGCACGGGCGTGGCAGCGAGCAGGGGTCGAGCCGCGGCCGCCGCCGGGCGGAGGGAAAGCGGCTGTAGACAGAATTCAGCGGCGCGATGCTGCCCCGCCGGCACCTGCGGTTTCCACGCAGGGGCCGAAGGAGGCCAGGGACCGGTTCCTCCGCTGGTGGGCTGTGCCTGTGTCGCCTTGAGCAAGGTAATTCTCTCTCCACACCCCCGTTTCCCCTTACGGTATGTAAAATGCGGTGAGTAAAACCTGCCTCAGAAGACAGCAAGGACGGCTTAAAGTGCTGAATTCTGCACCAAGGTATGATAAGCACAACCAAAGCATGTTCTGGGCTTTCACAGCCACAGAGACGTGGCACTTGGTTGACACTCATCAGATAACTTGACTCAGAGAGATAAGTTCTTCATCTGTGCTCAGAAGCGCCCTAGGGCCTGGTCTCCAGAGTCGGCTGTGTCCTGGACTAGGGTGTAAGAAGAAAATAGGAGAACTTTCATCTGGGTTTGCTATCTTAAAAAAAAAAGAAAGAAAGAAAGAAAGAAATTAACATTAACAGATGGCACAACACCGACCCTAAGTGGTCCCATGTTTTATATGTTCTAAGAGGGATTCTGAAGGAAGAGGGAAAACTGCACAAAATGCAGTGAGGTTGATGACAGCAGTACCCTTACTTAGGACAGTATTTCATTGAATCCAGGAATTCATCAACTATAAGACATACCATTCCTTATGTACCAGTAAGAAATGAAGAGAACTGTTGCATACACTATGGCATAATGCTTTCTTATCTCTTAGATTTTTTTTTAATTAGTTTCAGGCATACAGAACAACATAGGGATCAGACATTTACATAACTCACAAAGCGATAACCATACGTCTATTACCTATCACTACGCATCCCCGTGACTATGTTTTTAAAATTATAGTTGACATTCAATAGTATTTTATCTTGGGTTTCAGGTGTACAGCATAGTAGTCGGACAGCTATATAATTTATAAAGTGATCCCTCCAATAAGTCTACCACCCATCTGACACTATACATAGTTTTTGCAATAGTAGTGACTATATTCCCCACACTGTACTTTATATCACTGTGATTCCTGTAACTATCAATTAGTGCTTCTTAATCACTTCACCTTTCTCACCAGCCTTCCAACCCCACCTATCTGGTAACCATCAGTTTTTTCTCTGTATCCATGGGTCTGTTTCTCTTTTGTTTGTTCATTTATGTTGTTTAGATTCCACATATAAGTGAGATCATAGGGTATTTGTCTTTCTCAGTCTGACATATTTCACTAAGCATAATACCCTCTAGGTCCAGTCATGTTGTTGCAAATGGTAATACTTCATACCTTTTTTCCAGCAAAGTAATATTCCATTGTTATATATGTACCACTTCTTTACCCAATCATCTATTGATGGGTATTTTGATTGTTTCTATATCTTGTCTATTGTAAATAGTGTGGCAGTGAACATAGGGGTACATATGCTTCTTCTAGTTAGTGTTTTGGATTTCTTTGGATAAATACCGAGAAGTGGAATTGCTGAGTCATAGGTAGCTCTATTTTTAACTTTTTGAGGAACCTCCATACTGTTTTCCACAGTGGCTGCACCAATTTGCAATCCCCCCCAAAAGCACAAGGGTTCTCTTTTCTCCACCACTTTGCCAACACTTGTTGATTCCTTTTTTTTAAGCTGCTTAATATATTTAGTATTGTCTATATGAAAAATCTTCATAGAAAACTGTTTGGTTTATTAGCTCTCAGCAGCCGCCCGTTCCTGAGCTCTGAGGAAGCTTGCCTTCTTCTGTGCTACCCTATGTTTCTTCTGGGCAAGCGACATTTTGGGATGTTCCACTCCTCTATTTAACCTCTCTCTTAGGCTTCTTCTCAAAGACTGGGTTCTCTTGTATAACAACGTGAGCTTTATTATACATCTCCTCCATCATGTCTGGAGTTACATTGTTCTTTATGTACTGAGAGAATTGTTTCTTGTAAGCGTCTTCATCTTCTTCCATTAGATAACGCATGTAATCTGCAATGTTCAGACCCATGATGTGTTTCCAATGTACTTCTGCATTGAATTCCTTGCTTTCTGAATCATAACCAGGGAATCATTTGGTACTCTGAGGGATAGACAATCCTCCGTCCACAGCTCCCTTCAGGGCCCCAAAAACTTTATTTCCAGTAGTAGTTCTGGCAAGGCCTGCATCCAAATAACAGGTGGAAGGCACTAGGTTGACCACCAATGCTTTCCACATTGTATTCATCTCCAGTCACCTCCACTTGACCTTCATAGAATTTGTCCATGCCAAACCTATGGAGAAGGCTGCGGGCCAGCAGCAGGCCAGTACAGTATGCTGCAGTATAGTTTGTCAGGCCAACCTTCACACCATACTTCGGGAGTTCATGAGCATAAGCTGCACAAACTATCATATCTCCTTTTGTACGGGCATAAGCAATCTGGCAAATGATATCTCTGTAGGTTACACGAACAATCATCCTATATTTGGGTGTGTTGTACTTATTTTTATCCTGGATTACCAAGTGTTTCTGGGCATAATAATCAGTTTTACCCTCATGGCATCTTCTAAATTTCACTTGGTATCTCTCGAAGTAGGCCTGATTCTTGACAACTTTAACAAATCCTCTCAACTTCTGTACCTGTTCCCTTGAGGACCAACACCAATCCTTGTGTCAAACTTTTGCAAAGCTCTGCTCCAGACAGCACTCAATCTTGCCATACGTCCATCTGTTCTGAATACTATCTCATTTCGAGAAACTAATCTCCTATTTCCCTCCCTTTCCAGGAGTGACGTTTTTCAAAAACCTAAGTTACTTGCCACAAAACTGAACTGGCCAAAATCATTTCCAGCAATTACTCCCAATTAAAACTGCACTGTCCCCCACCAACTAAGCAACACCCCACCCCAAGAATAGTTAAAAACTGGTGCCAGCAACAGTATAAAGAGGCAGGAGGCACATACCCAAACTAAATGAGCTTCCTTTCTGAGCCCAGAGACGCCACAGCCTCCAAGTTCTACCAATGGTTTTGGCTTAAGAATGACTTCTTCAGACCAACACAAGCTTTCTGATACACCCGCTGACCCCAACGCTCTTCGGAAAAGCCCACAAAGCAGTCAGAGGTGGAGATGGGCCCGAGAAGGTGCACCCCTTCTCCACTCAGGCATCTCCTAGCTAGTATGAGCCCGACTGATGCAATCTCGCCTGCCCAGCCCCGTCGACCAGCCGGCTACCCCCGCAGCTTGTCTACTAAACTCAGCCTCCTCCTCAACCCACCAGCCCAGCGCCTGCTCTTCTTCACCCTCTTCCTCTTAAGTTTGCGCCCCGGGTGGCAGCCATTAAGACCACACTAGGAGCGGCAGTCCCACCAGGGCAGAGCCAGCAATCTAACACCATCCGACTCTAGCGCCATGCGAGACCGACCCTAGGCTGGCATTAGAGCAAGGAGAGGGAACCCCCCCATCCATCTGTAGCCTCGAGACTGGGATCTTGTTGTTGATTTCTTGATGATGGCCATTCTGACAGGTGTGAGGTGATAGCTCATTGTGGTTTTAATATGCATTTCTCTGATGATTAATGATGTTGAGCATTTTTTCATAAGTGTGTATGTTCTCTTTGGAGAAATTTGGTGTTGAGCTATATGAGTTAATAAATTTTGGATATTACCCCCTTAATAGATGTATCATTGGTGAATATTTTCTCCTATTCAGTAGGGTGTCATTTTGTTGATGGTTTCCTTTGCTTTGCAAAAAGTTCTTAGATTGATGTAATCCCATTTGTTTATTGTTTTCTCTTGTTTCCCTTACCAAAGGAGATATATCAGTAAAAATATTACTAAGGGTAATGTCTCAGTTTACCGTCTATGTTTTTTTTCTAGGAGTTTTATGGTTTTGGTTCTTACGTTTAAGTCTTTAATCTATTTTCAGCTTATTCTTGTATATGGAGTAAGAAGATGGTCCAGTCGTTTTTTGCATGTATCTGTCCAGTTTTCCCAGCACCATTTATTGAATAGACTTTCTTTACCCCAATGTATATCCTTGCCTCCTTAGTCATAGATTAAGTGACCGTATAGGTATGGATTTACTTCTGGGCTGTCTATTCTTGGTTAAATTTATTCCTAGGTATTTTATTTATGATTTATTTGTTTATTTTGATGCAATTATAAATGGGATTGTTTTCTTAATTTCTCTTTCTGATATTTAGTTATTGGTGTATAAAATGCAACTGATTCCTGAATATTAATTTTGTATCCTGCCACTTGACTAAACTCATTTATCAGTTCTAATAGTTTTTTGGTGGAATCTCTGGGGATCTCTACAGATAGTATTATGTCATAGCACTTCCAGTACTATGTTGAATAAAAGTGGTGAATGTGGCGAACATCCTTGTCTTATTCATGGTCTTAAGGGGAATGCTTGTAGTTTTCCCCCATTGAGCTGTGGGTTTCTTACATGGCCTTTATTATGTTGAGATATGTTCCCTCTATTCTCATTTTGCTGAGAGTTTTTAATCATAAATTGATGCTGGATTTTGTCAAACGCTTTTTCTGCATTAATTGATATGATCACATGATTTTTATTTTTCATTTTGTTTTTGTGGTGTATTGTGTTAATTTATTTGTGGATATTGAACCAACCTTGCATACCAGGAATCAATCCCCCTTGATCATGGTGTATGATCTTTTTAGTGTATTGCTGAATTCAGTTTGATAATATTTTGTTGAGGATTTTTGCATCTATATTCATCAGGGATATCTGCCTATAATTTTCTTTTTTTGTAATGTCTTTGGTTTTGGAATCAGAGTAATGGTGACCTTGTAAAATAAGCTTGGGAGGCTCCCCTCATCCTGTATTTTCTGGAATAGACTGAGAAAAATAGGTGTTAATTCTTTTTTGCATGTTTGGTAGAAATCCCCTGTGAAGCCATCTGGTCCAGGACTATTGTTTGTTGGGGGCTTGTTGATTACTGATTCGATTTCATCAGTAGTAATTGGTTGGTTCAGATTTTCTGTTTCTACTTGATTCAGCGTTGGAAGATTGTATGCGTCTAGGAATTTACCCATTTCTTCCAGATTGTCCAATTTGTTGGAGTATAATTGCTTGTAGTATTTTCTTAAATTTTTTTGTATTTCTGTGGTGTTCATTTTCACTTCTCCAC